ACGCGGCGCGGAGCCAGCGCGGCGGCGGGTGAGAGCCGAGGGGGAGGCGCGAGGCCTGGCTGGGCTCAGCGCGGCCCACGTGGGCAGGCGGGGCCGCCGCTTCTGTCGCGGCCCGGTTCCCCCTGTCTTGTGTGGCCCTACAGCCCTGGGCGGGGGGGGAGTCTTTGCGGCCCCCACCAGGGAGGAGGCGTGTGGCAGGGCGGGCTGGCTTCCAGTTACTCCTGGTGGGGCTCGGGGACCTGTGCTGGGCCATGGGAGGGTTTCCTCGGGGGCTCCCAGTTTGGGCAGGTGGTGTCCCCTGCCCATCCGCCCATGATGGTCTGCTGGGAAGGTGACCGAGCAGCCCAGCTGCACCCACTCTTGGCTTCATGGCAGCCTTTTAAACCAGGTCTGTTTTAGGAAGGAGGTAGCTCCTGAGTTTGGGCATGGCCCCAAGCTGCTTTGGGAAGCAACAGTGGGTACTGTGAAGGCACATCTTGCAGGCTGGAAGCACGCCTCGTCTTCCTCACACATGGGTCTGCCCAGAAACGGGCTGCTTCCTAGGTCTCGTGGAGGCTTAACGGCAGGAGAGTGGATGTATGGTAGGGAAGAGGATGTGGGGCATTTTAAGTTGTACTGTGGGTGATAGTGATAAGCATGGGGGAGATTGCAGTTATGCATCTGGCTGTTGGGATGGCTGTTCTGGGACTAAGGTAATGCAGTTCAGCCTTGAAACCGCTTTGAATTATGCAGCCGACCCTTTGGTTGCTGGCCAGCCCAAGGTCAGAGGACAGCTCGTTTCTGGCTGAAGAAACAAGTTAGCCAGATCAGGGCAGGTATGTAGGCCAGCAATGCTTGATATAGGATGTAATGGCATTAATCGTGGCTTTGCATGTGATAGTTACTTGTATCCTAATTAAAATACCATACCAGTCATGAAAGACGGCATGTAAGTCTCATTATATGTAATCCTTGATTTAGAGGCCGGACATAATCTATACACGCCCCTTTGTTCCCTAACTGGGGTCGCTTATATAAATGGTGGCAAAAATATTTTAGTCCACAGCTGAAACTTCACAGTTCCCTCAGTATTCTCAGGCATTGGCAGCTGTAGGTTGATCAGAAAATAATAATAATCTGCTTGCATTAAGGATATTTACGAATTCCTAAAAAGCTGTAGTGGGGGGAGGTATATGGGTTTCTGGGTACAATACAGTCATCCCACCTAAGGAAAGGCATGCAGGCTGGCAGTGGTGCTGAGTGTCCGCATGTGTGTGCACGTACTTCAAAGGACGGGTTATTCTAATCCATCAGAAGGGTTTTTGTTCAGAAGAGCATGCTTCTTATGAATATTTTAATGATTGTTAGAGAAGTCTGTCCAAAGTTCTGTGTTTATGAAGGCAGAAAATAGGCAATGGTATATGCCCAACAACAGAGAAAGGAAAACTTTTGGGCTTGTGTATACTTGTAACTAGGCTTTTTGGGTTTTGAATTTGGTATTCATTTGGTCTGCTGTGCTGTGTATCTTAAGTGTTACAGACTCTGAACTTCAAGACAGTTTTAATTAGTTTGCACTAATTTTGATATTCTAGAACATTTTTTGCAGTATTGGAGAAGAGCATCTGAAAGGCACAGTTTAAGGCGATTTATATTAATCTGTGTTTTTGGCAATATCTGTTATAGCTGGAGAACATCTGAGGCTCTT